CCCCCCCCCCCCAAACTCTGACCTCCTCACCCTCCTCTTCCCACACAGGATGTTCAGTCTAGGCTGCGTGACACTTGTAAGAAAACGGGTGACGAGTTCATGATTAACAGAATCGCAACTCAGGCAAAGGTTTGCACATGGTTGATGACTCCAGTTGTACTTTTCTCATAAAGAATCGCCTGCTTTTAAGGATTCAGACGGCACAAAAGAGCTTTGCCTCGCTTGCGTTACAGGAATATCTCCCAGCTGACATTCAGGCTCAGTTTTCGACAAGCAGAGAGATGATTAGAAATATCCACAACAGCTTCCAGAGGCTGCGGGACAGAGCTGAGAAAATGGTGGAGCGCTCTAAGGACAATGCATCTGATCTCCTCATGTTTGGCAAAGAGCTCAGGTATTTTATTATTACGGGTATAAACTTAATCTTTCTGTAGTATCCGCAGGTATTGGAGTTTTTGGTAATAAGGTTCAAATCCTCAGTGTTATCTGTGATTCTGTTCCTGGTTGTTAACTTGAAATGAGTTTGGCAGCTAGCACACCACAATATTACTTTCTCCCTCTGTAATATTGTATTTTCTGCAGTACACTGGGCTCAGATGCCTCGCCTCTTCCCTCCTTGGCCTCTTCACAAAGCACCTGGGGGACCCTGCGCCAGTCGCTGAAGAGCCTTTCTGTGGAGTTTGCTGTGCTGTCTGACAAAGCTGCTCAGCAGGTACAGCCCTCAGTCTTTCATCTTCACCACCTGCTCTGCTGTGTTTGTCCAAAACTGGCACTGGGTAATAAATGTTGTTTTGTTAATGTCCTCAGGGCCGGCGAGAAGAAGATGATGTTGTGGAAAAATTGAATCTTTTCCTGGATTTGCTGCAGTCGTACAGGGTGAGTGAGTTTCACTTTTGGTTCTCGCCTTTCACTCCACCTCCAGGGGATCCTCAACCTTTTGTGTGGCAGTTACTTTTGTTCTGCCTGCTGTTTTCTGATAGAAGCACAATAAATATTTGTAAATTTAAATTGAAGTGCATTTAGTAACCAAAGTCAGAATATTATGTAATGGACTGTTTTAACCTCACTCCATTGAAATTGCTGTTTTTATTCGTGGGTGGAATTTTTTTGATTTTGCAAAGCAGCTGGTGGGTTAACAAGAAATCATTTTCCACAGCGTCTATCAAATCTATTAACCAAAAAAACAACATGCATAAAGTTCTTCCATTACCCCTGGTTGCTATGTGCAGCACAGCGTGTTTCCCTACAATTTGGAGTCAAATAAAGAAGTACTTTGTTTCTCAAGGATCTCTGTGAGCGGCATGAGAAGGGCGTCCTCCATGAGCACCAGAAAGCATTGCACAAGTACAGTGTGATGAAGAGGCAGATGATGAGTGCCACTGTGCAGCACAAAGAGCAGGCATCTGTGGAGCAGCTGGAATCGCGAATTGTTCAGGTGATCATTTCATCTTCTCTTTTTGTGAGCCTTTAGAGTGTGAACTTCTTTATTGCTTTAAAAGTAAAATTCTACAGTGACTGAAGTTCATATAAAAGTAACATGTGCCCTGAAAACACACACACTGACTGTATAATTGTGTGGGTTTGCATATGAATGGAGCTATAGCCTTGTGAGCCATTAAAAAAATAAAAAATAAATGTTGGGGATGAGAGAAATTTATCAGCTGCACATTATCCTGTTCCACTACATCCCAATGGTGCTCTATTAGATTGAGCTGTATTGACTATGAAGGCCATTCGAGTACAGTGAACACATAGTCATGTTAACCTGCTGAAAATGGCCATCAGAAGATGGGGACAATGTGGTCATAAAGGGACAGGCATACTCCTCAATAGACTGTTTAAACACTTAACTGGTACTAAAGCACCTGAAGTATGCAAAGAAAATATCCCCGTGTTTCTACATCACTATCACCAGCCTGAACGAAACGGGGTGGATCCATGCCTTCATGATGTTTACACCAAATTCTGACCTTACAATCTGAATCTCACAGCAGACATCAAGACTCATCAGTTTCCAGTTGTCCAGTTTTGGTGAATCTGTGTGAATTTGTAGACTCGGCTTCTTGTTCTTAGCTGACAGAAATGGTATCTAGTGTGGTCTTTGACTGTTGTAGCCCTTCTGCTTCAAGGTTAGATGTGTTGTGCATTCAGAGACGCTCTTTTGCTACTTTTTATTTATTTTTCTGTTACTTTCCTATCAGATCGAAGCAGCCTGGCCATTCCACTCTGACCTCTGTCATTAACAAAGCATTTTCAAGCCATTCTCTGTAAACCCTGGAGATGGTTATGCAGGCAAAATATACATAAAGTGTCCCGTCAATGCATATAATGCTCTCTAAAAACAGAGATTATTAGTTGACTGATATGTGAGATATGTATTATTATGTACAACAGTCATAAATGAATGATGAAAGGTAATTGCAGTGTTGACGTGACAACACAAAATGGAAAATTTTAAATCCTATAGAATCTTTTAAATGTAATTGAATAATTTGTGTGCTTCTTGTTTTGGCAATGAGAGTAGAGCTTCATCATGTTTTATTTTTTTTCCTTATTTAGTACCAACACTTGTACATATGAAAATAGACAATGCTTACTCCATATAAAGTGTTTTATTTCTAATCATTCCCATCCTTTAATAAACAGTAAAGACATCTTACTGTATGTTTATTCTAATAACAGCAAGAAAATGCCATCCAGACCATGGAGCTGCGTAACTACTTCTCCCTATTCTGCCTTCATCAAGAAACACAGCTTATCTTCACTTACCTTCCGATTACCTCGCACATTCTCGGATCTTTTGTTAACTCCCAGGTCCAAGGACACCGAGAGGTGAGACAGTTTTTTGAAAATAACTTTTCTACAGATCCGCCTTTATGGCGACACCACTCCAGGAAGGTCAAATAAGTTTTAAATTGGCTACTGAAACTGATGGATGGTACAGCTGAACAGACCGAACTTTTTCATCTGGGATTAGAAACCAAGCAAAGCAGTAATGGTTATGTACTTCCTTCTGATCGCTGGTTTTCAGTTATTGTGGTTCAAGTACTTGAATGCTTCTTTTTTTTTTTTAAAGCTGGAAACTATTGAGCAATATATTCTGTGCAGTAAAATACACTATTGTTTTCCCTTTCTTTTTAGATGGGGGAGGTGTGGAGTGAATTGCAGCCAAAGCTTGGGTGTCTCTTCAGCGGTAACAATGGACTGAAACACTCCATCTGAAACCTAAATGTACATGAGATGAAAAAGGAAAAACACAGCCACTGAGGATTACAAACTACAAAATAATGCTAAAGGGGGGGGAGCACAGCTTTTTCATTCAGTTTTGTTTTGTCTGATCATTGGCCATATCACCTGCATGGAACAGCTGGCTCGTAAAACACTTTGATCTGCTTCTGCATAAAGTCCAGTTCACCATTAACTTTTTATAATTATTTGAACATGTCAGGAAAATCCTATGAAGTGTTATTTTACAACAGATACAAGGCTGGTGCATTAATTTCTGCTTTAGTTAAAGCACCTGTATGTGATATTTAAATTTTCCACACTAAGATGAAATAAGTAGTAAAGGACAGAAAGGCTGACTTTATTAAAGGGTGGGACTATTAAAAACCTTAATGTTCTTGCTTAATAACATTGAACCAGTATATTATTTTATTTTCTAAATGTTAGTTCGTAGGGATGTGTATTGGCATACTTTTCCTGCTTTTTGTTTTTTTTACAACAAGAGTTTTCGCTGCCTGAAGTATTTGCAAGCGTCCCAGTTTTTATTTTATAAGCTATTTCAAACATCTGACCTTAAACTGTAGGATAATATGAAGGGCAGAGGTGAGATCTATGAAAGGATAATGTCTGGCACTAGTGACATAATGTCAATAATAACACTATAAGCTATTGATTTACTACCAAAGACAAAGCTGCCTAAATACACTCCTTTGCTGTACATAAAAGCAGGACTCCTGCATCACCCCAATTTAACAATCATCACTTTTAATTTTTTTTTAAGAAGATTTTTGCGCACATCAGCCAACAGATGTATTATTATCCGGACAAAAATGTCTGAATTTTGCTGGATTTTCTTCTCATTCGCTGTCTGACTTTGTACTTTTCTAAAATTATGTACATTTTTGGTTTTTTGTACACACATACTGTCATATAACAGAGAATATACTTTACTCAAATATATGTAACAAAGGTGCAATTTGGGGTTCATGTTAAAGAAGCTATGTTCCAAATTGCAAATGAACTGGTTTAAACATGTATTTTATGAAGAAACTCCCACACAGTATGAAACAATTATTTTAGTAATCGCCTTAATTTTGGAAACGTGCTGCACAGAATATGAAACCTAATGAATTCAGAACTGTATATACTGTAAATATTCCACTAAAGAGGTGCTTCCTGAATTGTGTTGAATCAGATACTCTAAAAATAAAATGAGAGTATGGATGTTTTCTTTCAGTGTAGTGCTGCTTTGATTTTCATGGGGAAAAATCCCTGTAAAGAAATAAAAAGGTTTCTAATTGTGTTACAGCTGCGTAACATGTAAACCCTCCACAGGATATCTTCGTTTCCTCCGCATAATGACACAAAACAACCGTTGGATTATTCCTGGTATTTCTCACAGGTTTTATATTGGTCCCTGATGTAAATGCCACCAGTAACAGCTCGATTATTTCCCTTCAGAGCTCCTCCACTTCTTCCAGCGTGTGGCTGAGAATCACATCGTGACCCTGAAACTTGAAGTATCCAACAAATTTCTTCTTCTGCAGCATCAGAGGGAACCACAGTATATCATCGGCCCACATCTGACTGAAAGGAATTTTGTCACGTTCGAACCACTGGGGCCTCATTTCTAGAAAACAAAAGAAAAAATAATTAGACCTCTGGAGAATGAAATAGCATTTTATCATCTGCCTTCAGATATCATCTGCCTTTTCACTGTCATTTCTTAGTTACTGTCCAGAGAATGGAGAGAATTATTATTAAATCAATTCAAGTTGCTTTAGGACCTCAATCCTAAGTAGACAACAGACATCTGTATTACAGTAGTGCAGATAACACTTGCACTCATTTCCTGCCTTATCTTATCTGTTTTATACAAAACAAAACTTTTATATGATAAGCTGTTAAAATCAAACACTTAATGTTATTTGATGTGCCTTAAAACGCTCATAA